TGATTGCAGCTGTGACTATTTCAAATTTAATTCAACAATATAAATTTTATGCCCATTTGAAGAGTCACATGAAATATTAACAATAAAATTCAATGTTTTATCAGTTCAACCATCTACTCCAACCTACTTTGGAGCCTGACAGCACCACATATCTTTACTCTCACTATAATTTTCACTGCAATGAAAGAATTTGCCATAAGAATAATAAACAATTAATATACAAAAATAAAAAAGCAGGGTTTAAARGACAGGCATTTCAGTTTTAGACTGATTGTCTCATGATGAAATGTGATGTTTGGTCAAGCCTTGAAAATAACATCATGCACAATGTTTGTGTTTATGTTGTTTGTGTGTCACTGTTACAGTGACATGTGACCGTACACAAATAATGTGCAATGCTAAGATCTTGATCAGGGGCGGGGCCACATCGGCCCCTGCTGAAACTTGATTGCCCCCCTAAAGTGTCCTGTGCCTGTCAATCACCTGTCCTTTGCTCAAGTGATGATGCTGGGTGCAGTTCCATGTTCAAACACTAGTGGCGCAAATGAGCCAAATAGAAAAGTTCTGCACGAATCAAACTGACAGAAGTCTTCTTCTCTCATTAAAAATCTTGCAGAAAAAGTCTTTCAGTTTACAAATGATGGCTGGATTTTCTCACATGCTGTGTGTTTGAGAGGATTTCATCTATCCAGTAAAAACGCATGTAGAAGAACTTACTGCGCAGCTTTTCTAAAAATTACATAAGTGTTTGAACATGTGTGATTGATTAAACATAGACATCTTCCCAAATTCAGGGATTTGTGTGCAGGGATGTTAAACAAATACTTGACCCCTCTACGAATATTGTGGCCCCTTGACGGCCCATTACTCAGAAAAAATATCTAAATCCGCCATGGCAGATTTCCAAGGCAAACTGTTTTATTTCTTCTACAGTGAGTACTTTAATCAATGGAGTTAAAATGAACACTTAGGGGAAAAAAAGCATGACTTGTTGAGGCTTAAAAAGCTTTTTACTTGATGCGTTTAGAACAAGAAAGACCCTCAGTGCAGGTGAGTTACAGGTGTCCCCATTTTCACTGAGGTCAAGTTCTTCATTGAACACTCTCTGCCACAAAAAGAAAAATAAAAAATAAAAAAACATGCACACTTCAAACAAATGATTCATTCTAGTGTCCAGAAATGGATTATCCATTTAACAAACATCCATACACTCAAACTGTCATATTTTTCCTCTTTTATTTATTTATTTATTTATTTATTTATTTATTTATTTATTTATTTATTTATTTTACTTAATGTACAAACATGATTGTGTAAAAGGTTGCCTGGAAAGGAGCAACAGCACAGTTAGCCCAAATGCTTCGGAGGACAAAAGACGACTGCAGGAAGCAAAGAGAGGCAGCTTCCTTTGAAATCAAAATGAGCTCCGGACAGAAACAGCCTTGGGCTGCCTTTCTACCACTTTAGTTGCTAGCTTAGTTTTTTATTTTTATTTTTTATGTTRTAGCTTTATGCCCACTTTAAACATATTTATTCAGCTCTGTAGGATAAATGTTATGGTGGAGCACATTCCAATGCTCTTTTCTAGTCTTGTTGAACACTCAAGGCCACATGAATGTATTTACACAACACTTCTTCATCTGTAGCCTTTTACAAGCTCTGCAGAGCTTTTCTTTATGGTGCAAACGTTGCATTTAAAATCTTTCTCAAATGTGTTTTGACAAGTCGGGATCAAAGCGTCGACCCTCCAAATGGCAGATGACTAATCTTCATCTGAAATAACAGCTGCCCCCCAAAAACACATCAAAATTTAATGTTCCTGCGGCACTCCAGCAGTCACTTGACCTCACTTTCATAATTGTCCTTTTATTAACAACTTTACCCTTTCCTTTAGAACTGAGAAARCTGCATCTGCAGGTAAAACAAAGCTGCAGGAAAAAGTCCACTTCAGCGACCTTGTGACATGACTGCCTTTGGCGATTGTTTCTAAGTTCATAAACATTAAAATCAGCTTTTCAGAATACATCTTATTCCGCGTGTACCTAAAGGAAACCTGATAAATGTTTAGATAAGTGAACAATCGCTGGCCCGACATTTACAGAAAGACCCGGTCAGCAGTTATGGATCCTGAACACACTGAAGCATTTAGGTGCTGAAGTGCCAAATATTTTCTCTGGCAAGTTCAGAACAATATCAGGGAGTAAGTGCATTTTGGGAAGAAGCCAAATGTACTTATCACATACGAACCCTAAAGACTGCAAAAAACCCATCAGATTTTTTTTAAAGCTGCATATTTTAAAGCCTGAACACATATCACTTCCTCCAACTTCCCTTTTAGTTTAGTTGATGGAGAGGTAACGAGAAAATTGTCTCACTTTTCACTTTTTAAAAACAACTTCTCAGCGTTCCCTTGAAACATCACAGCATCAGTTTGGGGTGGATTTTTTCCTACAGCTGTGAGAACCCATATTTCTAAATCTGTGTGGTTGTACGTGTATGGGGTGCCATTTGTAAAGTTACACAGTCAAAAATTACCACAAATATTGTTGTTTTATTTAGACTTTTATTAGAAAAAAATAACATATTTATTTTTCAAAGTCAGTTTTCACCATATGTTTCATACTTTTATAAATGGCATAGTTTATAAAGTAAATATTTAACTTACAAATTAAATATTTAGTTAACAAGCTAAATAATTAATTTGTGACTTAAATATTTAGTTTTGAGCTAAATGTTTAGATTGCAACTTAAATGTTTAGCTAGCTACCTAAATATTTAAGTTGCAACTTAAATATTTAGCTAGCTACCAAAATATTTAGCTTGCAACTTAAATATTTAGGTAGCTAGCTAAAAATTTTAGTTTCAAGCTAAATATTTAGCTAGAAAGTTAGATTTTTAGCTAGAAAGTTAAATATTTAGCTAGCCACCTAAATAGTTAACTAAAATGTTTAGCTAGCTACCTAAATATTTATGTTGCAACTTAAATATTTAGCTAGCTACCAAAACCTTTAGCTTGCAACTTAAATATTTAGGTAGCTAGCTAAAAATTTTAGTTTCAAGCTAAATATTTAGCT